GGCTCTCTCATCTCTACTTCCAGCCCCAAAGTGTGTGCATGAAGCCTTCCAGGGGACAGGAAGCTGAGGATGGGCTCAGCGGCTCCCATCTGGTCTCCATGTAACAAAGGATATAACCGCATCATTATCCATGTACAAATGGAGAAGTCCCTTGATGTTTGGATAACCACATCCATGTCCTGAGTTTGTTATTTCTTGAAATTCCACTTAGCCGTCTCCGGCTTACTCATGTGCAGCAGTGTACAAAGGTTGGCACACCCCTCTGACAGCTGGGGCCGAGAGACCAAAGCCCTGCCATCATGGTGGCTTGGCCTTGGCCTTGCTTCGTGGGTTTTGGTTTGTGTTTAACAGTGAAGACAGGAAACAGGCATCTTTGCGTCTGTGGCTCTCTGTGCACTTTGGAGATGGCTGTGGTGGTGGCTGTGTGGTCCGCACCACACTCTGGGAACCATCAAGGAAGCTTCTGTTTATTGCTCTCTTCGCTCTCTGATTCACTTTGGGAATGAGAGGCATATGGCACAGTGAGTGGAGGATATTGGGGAACGTTATGCTTACTTTTTCTTGTCTCCCTTTGGGACTCTTTTTAAAAAAATGGCTTGTGTAAAGCTCAAAGGAAATCATGGCAGGGGAGTCGTATTTAAGGGAGTTCACACAGGAAAACAATGTGTTTTGTTCCTTGGAGAAAATCGTTTGGAGTAAAAAATCTGCCTGTACTCTGAGACCCTACCCTGCGGGTTTCAACTGCCCATCGCTGCTCTCTAGTACTTTGAGCTAATTAGAAACTGAACTCATTGCTAAGTCTAATTTAGAAGAATAGTTTGTTAGTGTTCTGAAAAGAACAAGCCATGAGAAAGAAACTTATTACTTTTTTTAAAGATTTATTTATTTTGGGGAGGGGGAGGAGGAGAAGCAGAGGGAGAAAGAGAATCTCAAGCAGACTCCCCGCTGAGCACAGAACCCAATGCAGAGCTAGATCTCACCACCCTGAGATCATGATCTGAGCTGAAATCAAGAGTCAGATGCTTAACTGACTGAGCCACTAGGGTGCCTGAGAAAGAAAATTATTTTAAAAATGGGTTGTATATGGCACCTGGTGTAAAGAAATGGCAGGGCTGGGAGAAAGCTTTATGGGATAAAAGGTTCTCTTCTCAGGACGCTGGTCTGTGCCATGTGGAGGGGCGCACTGATTCCCTTGGCACCTGCTGTGTCCATCGGGGGTGGAGCAGTAATGACGCAGTCCAGGTGAGGTTCAAGAGTTGGTGAGTGGTTCCGACCTCCATCTAGGAGACTAGATACAGGGAGATGATTAAGTAATGGCACCCTGGGAAATGTGACTCATTGCACGCCAGCCCGTGCTACGTCCTCTCTTTATGGAGCCTCTGCAAGTGTTGCCTAGGTAGGAACAAACTCAAATTGAACGTGCCTCAGTAGGTCTGCGAGCGTCCCTGTGATAGTGTGCACGTGGCTACCTGTGGATCCTGGGATCTAGATGTGTGTACCACCTGTTGCCTGTGTACATGACACTGCACTAGGGGCCACCTTGAACCCCTTTGCAAATGGGAACGGAAGGACATGTTCCCCAGTAGCAGGTGAAGACCAGGCTGGTTTCCCCTTCCTCCAGCCAAAGCCAGACCGTATGGGAATGCGAGTGGTGATTCCCCCAGTGCCCCTCGTGGGAAGGTCAGGGATCCGCAGGATGCCTTGACTTGAACCCCCCACCCCACTCCACCATGCCCCGGGTTGCAGACTGGGTTTCACTCAGGAAAAAAAGTCAGTTGCCGCCTGCGCCAATGCCCTAAACAAAAGCAGTGTTAAGGTAGCGTCTGCTGTGATGGTGATGGTGGAGGGCAATATTTCTAGGACTTGTTTGGAAAGTGAAGTGGTAGCGTAAGGGATAACCTACTGTCTAAAAGTGAATTTTGTGGGTGCCTGGGTGGCTCAGTGGGTTAAAGCCTCTGCCGTCAGCTCAGGTCATGATCTCAGGGTCCTGAGATCGAGCCCCGCATTGGGCTCTCTGCTCAGCAGGGAGCCTGCTTCCCTCTCTCTCTCTCTCTCTCTGCCTGCCTCTCTGCCTACTTGTGATCTCTGTCTGTCAAATAAATAAATAAATAAAATCTTTAAAAAAAAAAAAGTGAATTTTGCGAGCACCTGGGGGGTGCAGTCAGTTAAGCAGTTAAATATCTGACTCTTGATTTCAGCTCAGGTCAGGATCTCGGGGTTGTGAGATCGAGCCCCGCGCCAGCATCTGCACTCAGCTGGGAGTCCGCTTCTCCCTCTCCCTCTGTCCTTCTCCCTGCTCATGCTCTCACTTTCTCAAATAAATAAATAAAATCTTTTTAAAAATTTAAAAAACCAAGTGTTCGAGGTGGGTGATGGTAACATGTCATGTTTAATTTCACAAAGGGTTTTTCTTTATGAAATCTCATCTTAAGATTCTCAGCTTTGCAGATGAAGACACGAAGCCTCAGAAAAGTGAAGTGATTTGCCCTCCTCTGGGGTGGAGGCAAGGCTCCCATCTAGATCTTTTAACTTCGAAATGGAGTGTTCTTTCTTTAAACAACAGGGTTTCCAAAGGTTATATTTCTTTTATCTGTTGCTAGAAGAAGGCCAGAAGTCTGAAATCCAGTAGGATCATGCTTCCTCTGAGGACTCTAAGGGTGAATCATTCCATGCCTCTTCTAGCTTCTGGTGTGGTGGCTGCCATATTCCTTGGCATTCCCTGGCTTGTGGCCACCTTACTCTGATCTCTGCCTCTGTCTTCACACTTCTTCTTCCGGGTGTATCTTCTCTTCTGTGTGTCCTCTTCAGTAAGAACAAAGCTCTTCCCCTTCCGTGAGGGAAGTGGTCCAACTGTAATCAACCTGCCACTGGGTGTTTAGCTGATCACCCTGGCAATGGTGCCATATTAGGGATTCAGTTTTGGTCTCTGTTGGGTGCCCAGTGGTGGCTGGAGCCAGGCTGGCCTTGGTGAGAGGAAAGTTATGGTGCTGAGTCCATGTACCACCTCCCTCCTTGCCACCGTGAGGGTTCCTCATGGAACTTAGTTCCCGAGTCCATTGGTCAGTGACAGGTGTGGCTACCCAGGAAGGAGGCTGATCCGACTCACACGAAGGAGGCTGATTCTACCCGCTTGATTCTTAAAATCATTGTCTGCTTAAGTCCCCTCTTAGTGAGCATTTCCAGGGGATACACATGTCTTTATGATTTTCTATGTCTGACTTTAGAAACTCCATCACTTGCTCTCATGCCTCTCCTCCAGCCCTTACCATGCCTCAGATGTCCCACAATTAGGTTTATACACAGTGTTCAGCGTTACCTCTTTTTCAGGTAATGTTGGGTTAATGAGCACATCTGCATAGGTGAAATTTCCAGGTAACTAGAATTTAGTCTTCTGTTAACCCTCCAATTATAACCAAAATGTTAAAGCTTGGTATTTTTTTTTCAAGTATATTTTCTCACATTAACCTTCTTAAACAGAATATGTATTATCTTTTCAAATAAGAAATAATTGAAATTTAGTTAAGTTGGTCTATAATCACGACTATTTGATAAATAAATTGTATATATTTATTTCTGTATTTTTTCCAAATTGTAGCCCCAAAGTGAATATAACTTTACATTGTGCTTTTTTTTTTAATACTTTATTTGTTTATTTGACAGAGATCACAAATAGTCAGAGAGGCAGCAGAGGGGTGGGGGGAGAAGGCTCCCTGCCGAGCAGAGAGCCCGATGTGGGGCTCGATCCCAGGACCCTGGGATCATGACCTGAGCTGAAGGCAGAGGTTTTAACCCACTGAGCCACCCAGGCACCCCCGCTTTTTGTACATTTTTTCCTGTATCTTCCTTCATTGTCCTCTTCAGTCAGTGACCTACTTCTAGCATTGCTGTAGTTGGGTCCAGGGTAATTTTGGTGTTGAGCTGGATACTAGAGCTTGCCTTCCCTTGTGGGCCACAGCAGTACTTCTCAAATTTTGATGGACAAATGAATTAACTGGAAGGGGGGGAGGGGATCTTGTTAAGGTACTTAACAGATTCTTCCTCAGTGGGTCTTGAGTGGACCTTGAGGTTTAGCCCTTCTACTAAGCTCATAGGGGATGCCCATGCTGCTGATCCTTAACAAGGAGACTTGATCACTAAGCTCGGATGAATGTTGAAATCACCTGTAGAGCTTTAAAGACCATGAAGCCTTAATTTTACCCCCAGAGATTCCAATACAATTAGTCCGAGATGCAGTCTGAGTATTGGTAATTTTAAGGCTTCATTAGGATTCTGAATTGTAACATCTGAGAACCACTAGATTGGATGACATTGGTCTTTATTTTAAGAGCAAGCATGCTGAGTCATACTCTGCAGGGTTATATGGCTTTCTTTTTTAAAGTCACTTTTGTAGCTCTAGAAAGACTGCCCGCACCCATGGATGACCTCCAGATCTCTGCTTAGCATGACTGGATAATTTTTCTATTGTCTCCAGCACATGTTGTCAGGGGCAGAAATAAAATTCTTGCCTCCATAAGAGTGGTTATTCAGAGGCAGTTCAATATACCCGCTGATGACGAGGCGATGGTAAGCCAGGTCCCTCCTGTATGGGCCTGTGCTGAGGAAGAGAGAGGAGGGAGGTGAAGCAGAGAAGCACTCCATTTCTTTTTTTTTATAATTTCTAGTATGTTCATGTGTAGAGTTTCTAAGCCAGTAACAAACTAAGAACTTCTTGCCTAGTACAAGCCAAGCCCTTGATCATCAAAAGCCGATGTTTCAAATTACTAAAAGTCAATGAGGCTGATCCAGTTTGGTAATTGACCTCTAGATGTGGGTGCCCCAGTGGTGGTGGAGATACCCTGCAGGAGAGACAATGCCAGAGCTCTCCTTCACCCCCAACCCAAAGCCCACTCAATTCCTCTTGCCAAGTGACTTACTATGTCTTAACAGAGCTTGGGACACTTTCCATTGAAATGCCTCTGATTCCATATAACTGGATTGATTTTTTTCTTTGGCTGATCTAGATTGGACGACTGATTATTGGGCAGAATGGCATCTTGTCAACACCTGCTGTTTCCTGCATTATCAGGAAGATCAAGGCAGCTGGTGGAATTATCTTAACAGCCAGCCATTGCCCTGGAGGACCAGGGGGAGAGTTTGGAGTGAAGTTCAATGTTGCCAATGGAGGTATGTGGCTTAGAATCTGCCTTAATCATCCCGATTTCTGTCCTATTATGTTGTCATAGTCTTATTTGTTAAAAAAGATGTATTTATTTATTTGAGACAGCATGTGTGAGAGAAGGGTGAGGGGCAGAGGGGGAAGGAGAGAGAGAATCTCAAGCAGACTCACAATGAGCACGGAGCCTGACGTGAGCCTCGACCTGACAACCCTGAGATAAAGACCTGGGCCAAAACCAAGAGTCAGATGCTTAACTGACTGTGCCACCTATGTATCTCAGCTATCATAGTCTTACAGTGACCCTTCGGTGGTAGACAAGCAGGGTGGAGGAGAAATTGCACAGAAAGTTCCAGTGAAGTGCTGTATTAGGTTTCTCCAGAGGACCAGAACAGTGGGCTATATAGAGATTTATTATGAGGAGTGGGCTGGGTTCTGGTTCAAGATGGTGATGTAGGAACATCCAGAACTCACCTCCTGTCATGGACACACTGCACCTACAGAAAGACGGACCACTTTCCTCTGAAAAAAAAAAAAAAAAAACCTAAAAACAAGCAGAGCAGCCCCTTTACACAAGGCAAATGAGAGGGAAACCATGTCAGAATGGGTGGGAGAAGTTGGGACACCACTTCACCATAAACCTCACTGCTGGCCAAATAGTCCACCATCTGGAGAGAATGCAGAATCCAGATTTTCTCTCTGAGGAAGGGAGGGCTCGTACTCTACATTGGGTACTCCATTTCTTAAGACTGCCACCTGAGAGATGAGCCCCCTACACATCTGTCTTGGAAGACCAACTGGCTCATGCCCTTGACCCTTGGGGCTGTGGCGAACTGAGGGACAGCTCTTAAAGGGTCTGCTCGCAGCCTCACCTGCCCCAGGGCCCAGAGAGGGGTTGGCTCACGTGATTATGGAGGCAGAAAAGTCCCGAGACCTCTAGACCCAGGAGAGCTGATGGTGGAGTTCTGGTCTGAGTCCAAAGGCCTGAGAAACAGCAGAACTGATGGTGTAAGTTCCAGTCCGAGTCCGGGTTCCAGGGCAGGAGAGGACCAGTGTCTCAGCCAGAAGCCAGGCAGAGAGAGTGAATTCTCCCTCACTTAGCCTCTTGTTCTGTCCAGGCTTTAGTGGGTTGGATAAGGCCACTACATTGGGGGAAGGCGCTTTCCTTTCCTCAGTCTACTGATTCAGATACTAATCTCATCCAGAAACAGGCCTGTAGACACATGGGAGTAAGGTTTAACCAAATATCTGGGCACCCTGTGGCCCAGGTGGAATGACATATAAAACGAACCACCACAGCCCTTGAGGTGACATGACAAGGAAGTGGCCTAATGAGATCTTGAACCCACTTGATCTCATGGATGCTTATCTGATATGGAAGGACTCTGAATTTTAAAGCTGGAAGAGACCCTCTAAGTCATTTAGTCCATTTCTGTCATTTTATAGATGAAGAAATAAATCCCCCAGAGGCTGTTATTGATTTGCTCAAATTCACATGGCTGCTCAAGGCTAGACAAATGATTTTTTAGCATAACCTGTAGACATCTTTCTTCCTTATAGTGTTGACTTTCTCTCCCTGAAATGCTTAGAATCATTTCACTATTTGTTCTATTTACAGAAATGTAGTTTAGAGGTCTTTGTGCAGTGGGATATGGGTATGGGGTGAATTAAAGAAATTTTTAAACATATATAAAGGTGAGAATAATAAATGGGTAGCTTGTGTCCATTACTTTGCTTTTCCATTTTGCACTTTTTTTCCCGTAAAGAATTTTAAGGTAAATTACAGCATGAAGACATTTTATACCTAAATATTTCAGAATACATCTCTTAAAAGAAAGACATATTCTAACATAACTACATTATCACTCACACCTAGCAAAAATAATACCAATTCTCAAATATTACCTAAAACCTAATCTATATTCAGCATTTTCCAGTTGCCTCCAAAATGTTATTTATAGCTGTTTTTTTTTAAAAAGAATTTATTTATTTATTTGAGAGACAGAGCGAGAGAGAGAGCATGAGAGGGGAAAAGGTCAGAGGGAGAAGCAGACTCCCAATGCAGGACTTGATCCCGGGACTCCGGGATCATGACCTGAGCTGAAGGCAGTGGCTTAACCAACTGAGCCACCCAGGCGCCCTATTTATAGCTGTTTTATTCAAACCAGGATTCATCCAAGAACTATGCATTACATTTGGTTGTTAAGTCTCTTAGTCTTAATATAGAACACTGAGTCTGCATTTCTGCAGGAGTAGGTAATTTTCACCAACAATAGTTACCTTTATGAATTATTTTTGGCCAGAATATTATTTTCTGCCTCCTTGAAGCCATTTTGGACATTATCCAAACAAATGAACTCCACTCACATCGAGTGTTTTAAAAAAAACACCTTTATGAAGTGTTGTATACTTCGAGAAGTTTCGTTTCATTAAAAAGCATACCGAGGGGCACCTGGGTGGCTCAGTGGGTTAAGCCTCTGCCTTCAGCTCAGGTCATGATCTCAGGGTCCTCGGATGAGCCCCGCATAGGGCTCTCTGCTCAGCAGGGAGCCTGCTTCCTCCTCTCTCTCTGCTTGCCTCTCTGCCTACTTGTGATCTCTGTCAAATAAATAAATAAAATCTTTAAAAAAAAAAAAAAGCATACCGAGGACCCACATCTAGTCTTGCAGCAGCCCTTGAGGATTTCAGGAAAAAACAGGCAAGATTCAGGTATTCTATATGCTGTTATCATGGGAAATTGAATGGGCTCAGAAAGTGGCAATTTGTAGAGAAATGTGATTTAAAAGTTGCCAACCTAGACAACGCTTACCAAAGTAAGTATTTGGAATTTATATTTGATTTCATATCTTACAAAAATATCTCAGTCATCTCTGTGATATCCTGTGAGGCATAAAGGGAGAAGATATTATTTAAATACCCATTTTGTAGACTAAAGTACAGGGGGAAATGAGACGTATTCAGCCGTAGATTTTGGCTTTTAACTGTATTGAAAGTCCCTTTCTTATGCTTAATTCTTTATATTTGCATGTCTTGGCATCATGAATGAAGCTAACATTCCTAATGGCATGGAAAGATTCAGTTGGTTTCTTCTTACTCAAAGAAGAATCAAATTTACCATAATTTCTTTCCTTGAAGAGACATTCATCTCTTTTCATTGTGTGTCGTATAGATACATTTTATGGAATGAATTAAAAGACTACGTGTCTTGGGGCACCTGGGTGGTTAGCTGGTCAGACGTCTAACTCTTGATCTGGGCTCAGCTGATGATCTCCGGATCCTGGAATCCAGCGGTGTTGAGCCCCTTATAGGGTCCCATGCTCAGTGGGGAGTCTGTTTCTCTCTCTCTCTCTCTTTCTTCCTCAGCCCCTCCCCGCACTCGTGCATGAGCTCTCTCTCTCTCTGATAAATGAATAAATCTTAAAAAAAAAAAAAAAAAAAGACTAAGTGTCTACGGAATTAGTAGGCACAGCCAGGGAACTAGGACACATCTGGAACTATGTTACTTTTAAAGTGCATTTAGAGGACAGGACCATTCTGAGGATGTTTTTAAGTAGAGGGGAAGATGGTAGAGGGGAAATGGGATCCATAATAAAGATACTGGATTTTTTGGAATCTTATAATGTGCTGGGCACCGTACTCAGAACTTTACATACCCGATCTCATTTAATCCTCATAACAACCCGATGAAATCACTGAGGAATTAAATGGTTTAAAAAGCTTGACCAGTGTCACAGAATTCTTAAGGTGTGGAGCTCAGTTAGAGCCTAGATTCTGGGAAGAGAGCAAAACTTCTGGATAAGATCGCAAGGATGGGGAAAGAAGCAATTCTGAGGGGTGCAGAATGAAAGTTTGGGGTAATAGTTGCTATACCTGTTCCAAAAAGAAAGTAAGAAGAAAGATTGTGTGGTGAGATAATGGGATAAGGAGAGGCAGGACTTGGGGACATATTCTATAAAAGGTACAATGGGAAATGTGTTGATGATTCATGCATGAGAAGTCGTAAAGGTAAGCAGCCTCATTCTTAGGGGGAGCCACTTGGTATAATTTTTGACTACCTCCAGCAATATGTGGGAGTCTGGAAATTGTAGCAGTGGGGACAGATGATGGTGATGTCCCAGGGTTGGGGAATGGCTTTGGAGGCATGGAGGAACGGTACTCGTTACAGGTGTCTGAGCTGGCATCGGACTATTAGGATTCAAAATCCAGCCTCTGTCTATTACCAGTGAAGGGGCCTTGGTTAAGGATCTCTTCCTCTTCAAATTTCAGTTTCCCCATTTGGCAATTGAGGATAATAATAACTCCTATTTCATCTGCTTTCTGTGCGTGTCGAATTCCATGTAAAGTGTGAAATGTGGTATATGTAAGTTTCAATAAATGTAGGCTCATGTTATTATGCTAACAAAGGTATGGCTCAGACAGTGGACCTTAGTTCAGGAAAGAGCAGGTTCAGCGGAGGTGTGGAGGAGGGTAGCTGGCAGATAAGGAATTCAATGGGCAGAAGACACTCAAATTTGATATTTTTGAAAAGATTTCAAGAGGCAATAATATTTAAGATATGACTTTACCAGCCACTGACTAAAATGAGGAGGAAAACTCATTAGAGCAGAAGAGTCAAGGAACTGGGAAGCAGTTGGTAGATGCAGAGGTTGATGACGAGCTTGTGAGGTTAACCACATGGGTGGTCGAGTGGCATCACAGAAAAGGAACATGCTAGAAGTTGTTTTACTTTTGGAAGCCAGTGTGCTTTGTCATCAAATCAGGTTTTTTAAAAGTGAGGGACACAGTCAAAGAATACAGTGGCACCTAAGGGAGCAGGGAGATATTCATGCATTCTCCAACTGGACAAGCATAGAAAAGGCAAAGACAGAACAAGGCTATTTACTGTTTTACATTTTGTGAAAGGATAAAAAATGGTGTGGAGTAGAGGAGGAGGGCCATTTTTTTTTTTTTTCCTTTGCAGCCTTTGCTTTTCCTAAAGGACAAGGAAGTATGGTTAAAATCTAGTAGGCCTCTTTTCCATGCAGTAGAATGGGGACATTGCCCTTCCTTTATTTTTAAGACAGCTTTCTTGAGGTATAATTGATATACAAAAAAAATCTGCTCGTAGTTAATGTATACAGTTTGTTGTGTTTGGGTAGTATTCCTTTTTATGTATTCAATGAGCATTTATGGGGAGACAAAAACAGTGCTATGTTTTTGAAATATATTGTGAGTTGCCTAATAGAAATGTATTGTGAGTCAGGATTTTAAACTTTCTAGTAGCCACATAAAAAAGTAAAAAAAAGGTGAAATGAACAATGCATTTTTTTTTAAAGATTTTATTTATTTATTTGACAGAGATTACAAGTAGACAGAGAGGCAGGCAGAGAGAGAGGAGGAAGCAGGCTCCCTGCTGAGCAGAGAGCCCGATGTGGGGCTCAATCCCAGGATCATGGGATCATGACCCGAGCCAAAAGCAGAGGCTTTAACCCACTGAGTCACCCAGGCGCCCCATGAACAATGCATTTTTAAACCTCGTATACTGAAAATATTATTTCATCAAGTTACTATAAAAGTTAAATGTAACCGATTAACATTTTTTTCTATGAACTGTTCAAAATTTGATGTGTAGTTTACAGTTACAACACATATCAATTTCACTAGTCACATTTCAGGTGCTCAATAGCTGTATACCATTAGCGACTACTGTCCTGGACAGTGTAGCTTGAAGGATTGGGATAGAAAAGAAATTATTTCTTGATTTCCTTTTGGTTGAAAGTTACAGTCGAGTTGGCAAGTATATCTCATATAAAACCTATCTATTGTCTCTCATTGATATTTCAGATCTTGCACTGTACTCATTTGATTTCCAAACTTACTGCAAAAAATCTAAAGTGACTTGCAGCACAAAACAAAATTTAAAAAGAAGCTGAAAGGGGGACAACTTTTGATTTCATGTTCATTTAAAGTCTCTTGCAGCCTAATTGTCCTCTTGATCTTGTGAGGAAACACATCAAATATTTTTACTTAAACCTCATTTTAAAAACTTGGATGTCATTAGGGAGCCTGAGTCGGGGAAAGCATTTAACCCTGGCAAGCTCCTGCCTCAACAAGGCAGCCAACCTGGGAGTAGAACTCATATGTTCTTTCTCTAGGTGCACTTGGGAGGCTGCAGTTTGAATCTGGAATCCCTCATTTTTGTCAAGTGCATATCCTGTTGGTGTCTCATATCCTGAAAAAAGCTGATTACATAACTGGGTCTCCCCGGCAGGTGTGAACCTATTTTTAGGAAAGATGTATCATTGCTCAGAAATGGATTCAGATAAACAAACATATGGGTTATTAGCCTACATAGAACAGGTGAGGCTGACCAAATTTCCTCCATCATGGGTGAATACAACATAGGGAATATGGAGAACAGTTGAACTGTGAACCGTTGTCCATTGTTTCGAGAACAAATGAATCTTTCTTTTGCTTGGTGGTGAAGGAGGGAACATGCCTCTGATTGAAGTTGCAGATGCTTTTTAAAAAATTTAGTTTTGGTGGTGTGCTATTTCCAAATGCAGGTCCTGCACCAGATGTGGTCTCAGACAAAATCTACCAGATCAGCAAAACAATCGAGGAATATGCCATATGCCCTGATCTTCGAATTGACCTATCTCGGCTTGGAAGACAAGAATTTGACCTGGAGAACAAATTCAAGCCATTTAGAGGTAATAGATTATATTTTGAAGAAGTCAGAGTCATTCCATGGGTGGCGGTGACTCTGCTTCCCGCATGGGAGGGCACACCCTAAAGTGATTGGATGGTCTATTTTGGGAGTGACTTGATAAACAGAAGTAATATGACTGTGGTGCACGGGGAAGTGGGAGCAGCCAAGATACTCAGGACTGGCAATTTCAAAAATGACTTCCCAAATTCTAGATCACTTTCAACATTGGAAAAATGTCACAGCTGACTCCCTTATGGCATCCCAAGAATAGGCTATGAGTCGCCAAAACATGTCTTCACTTTTCTAATCAATTACAGTGAAGATACTGGAATATTTTACACAGTGAAGAGAACTAACAAGGTAATGGGGCTACTAAAATTTCTCATGGAAGGTAGGCGATTTCTTTCCAAGCCAGGACCATGCTGTTCACCTTGATTCAACGCGCGAGGGATCACCATTCTATATCAAGCACTATGTGAGGAGATTTTTGAAAGGAACTCAGTAAACACCAAACGGATTGAGGCAAAGAATGGCATGAAATTGCCCCAAATATCCTACAATGTAGACTGATTGAAACTTCTGAAGTACTCAGATTATAACTTTTAATTTTACAGATTAATACTGAACCGTATTAGCATCACTAATATCATGTATATGCATATTAGTCCCCCCTCTTTTACCCTGTTGCTTTTTCCTAGAACATATACAATTAGCCATAAACCAACTTTTTACTCCTTTAATGTCCTATACGCTTAAATACAGTCTGTGTTAAAATATTTTCCTTGTTTGACAAATAAATTAATTTAGCTGAAAAGATTAAATACCAGGCTCGCAGCCACATGGCATTGAAGGGACAAGCAGAGGAGAGCTTGAAATGGACATTGAGGTGTCACACTGTTAAGCCAACACTAGTATCTTCTTCTTGAAGGATTTTGAGTCAATTGCTCGCTTAGCTAACCAGCAGAAATTCATCAGAAGCCATGTGATATTGGAAATAATGGTGTCTCCTTTTATTAATCTTGCTGGGAGCACACACACATACATGAACACACAGTGGTTTGACATCCATAAACAGGGGTATAGTAGATGAAATGGATTTAAATATGCTCATTTATGTATATTTGGAAAAATTGGACAATAAGATGACTGGGAAAAATCAGACATTACCATCAGGAAGAAGTTACAAATGATTTATTTACTTCTGGTATCTTCACAATTTTTATGCTTGCCTAAGAGACCTAAATCATTGGTCTCGTTGGTAAGCTCAGGTTCAGTCTCTTTCTGCCGTCATATTGCTAATTTGATGAGATTTCTAAGATGCTGTGAATACCAGGAGGTGGGTAGAAGAATTCCCTGGCTCCCAGTCCCTGGCTCCCAAGAAGAATTTGAAGATAATTGTTTGGGATAATTTACGTGCTGTGTTCTTGGTGTTTTAAATGTTGAGCAAGCCTTTGAGTTAATTGCAAACACATCATTCCTTGGCATTTCACCTTAAGGGTTCAAGAGCCTGAACTATTTGATATGAACTTTCAATTTTCACTGAATTTTACTTGCTTCCTTGTTTTTTACGTTTCTGTTTACTGTGTGTTATCTGCTATGAATACCAACTGTATTTAGGCAAGTAGTTCAAGAATTAAAGAACCAGAATAAAATAGCTAAAAATATTATCCCATATTGTGGACTAAGACTTCTATATCTAAAAGAATATGATCTTTTATTTCATACAGTAATTTTTTATTATGGTATAATATACATAAAGTTTACCTTTATAACCATTTTACATATATATTTCATAAAGATTAATTCTTAATTTATTGTATGAATTAATATTATTCTCAGGCCAAAAGATTAAAAATGATTTGTGTTCATGCAAAAATAATTACATTATATTTAAATGGACATACATACTATATTAACTTAAGTGCAAGGAAAAATATTTTTATTTGTTTAAAAAAATAATTGATTTATTTATTTGTCAGAGATCACGAGTAGGCAGAGAGGCAGGCAGAGAGAGGCAGGGGAAGCAGGCTCCCTGCTGAGCAGAAAGACCGATGTGGGGCTTGATCCCAGGACCCTGAGGTCATGACCTCAGCTGAAGGCAGAGGCTTAACCCACTGAGCCACCCAGGTGCCCCTGAAAAATATTTTTAGATGGTATTTGACCAGGTGAAGGAATAGTTTCATCTATCTAATTATAACATATTATAATTCCATCCATTAAATATTATAGCTGGGATTTACTGAAAATTATTAAAAGTGGATTGGTCATATCCTTTGTGCAGGTTTAAGTATTTCAGAATTCCAAAGTAGTATGTATTTGAAAATTTTGAAAAACAACATACATATGTTTCAAAATTTAACTATGAACTTAAAAGCAGGGTTTATGGACAAATTTTCGTGCTAAAAGAGTCAAATATCTAGTATTCTAGGAAAATACTTTCTTAGTGTTAATTATATGTTGATGGCCAAGTTTGAAAAATGTAATGGATTTTGCATTGTGTATATCTGTCAAATAAGTGGAAAAGACTAGTTTTGGGTTCCTGGTCACTGGGGGGGTACCAAACATTGGGGAATACTTATGTTTAATGAAGTTTTCTAAATATTTGGCATTCAGCCTGAAATGGGTACTGGGTTGGGCACACAGTACAAACTCAGGAATGTATCCTTCATCACCAATCTAACCCTGGATTTGGTTGGCATAATGGCATTTAGAAAATAAGGGCCACTGCTAAAGTGACCCTTTAAGCCCCCCGAGTGATTCTTTGGCTTACCTCCACAGGAGAGGCATTTGGGTGTGCCAAGATGTCTCTTAGCATTGAGCTGTGTGCCTTCTTTGGGAGGGATGTGGTGGAAGGAAGATGGGATAAAAGGGTGCAGATTTATCTTAATTACTTAAGTTTGTGTTTGATTCTTCATTTGCAAAGAGGAATGTATAACTTGTATTATGTGTACCCATTTATGACCAAAAAAGTTTGTAGGATCTTGATTGTGCCTTAATTTTGTGACTTAGTGTACAAATGGACACTTGGCTTCCTGCATGATGGCTAGGGTTATGATGGGATTGTGGTCAGAACTTCATGCTGTTAGGGTAGTGATTCTTTTTTACACTTCCCAGTGTTCTTCATGGGTATGGTCAATGATATTTCCATTTATTCTTCTATCCTTAGTGGAGATAGTGGACCCAGTAGATATCTATCTCAACCTCCTTCGGACCATCTTTGACTTTAATGCCATCAAGAGTTTGCTGACAGGGCCCGGCCAACTGAAGATCCGAGTTGACGCGATGCACGGAGGTAAATTCCTGGTCTTCTCCCATTTGGTGAATGAGAAATATTAAGGAGACCTCTACCCGTGCTGGGTTTCTGAGATTATGAGGAAGATTGGATTCATAGATATTCACACAACATGTGTATGTTCAGATATTTGGAATGTTCTGGAAAACCTCACAGTTTTAACTTCTCTCTCTCTTTTTTCTTACTTAGTTTTTAAAAAAAAAATATCATTTTTAATTGAAGTGTAGTTGACACATATTGTTAGAATAGTTTCAGGTGAATGACATAGTGATTTGACAGTTCTATATGTTATGCTCTGCTCACCACACATGTAGCTACCATCTGTCACCATGCAATGCTATTACAATACAATAGACTATATTCCTTATGCTGCACCTTTCATCTGCATGATTTATTCATTCCATAACTGGAAGTCTGGATATCACACTCCTCTTCTTGCATTTTGTGCATCCTTTCCCCAGTTCCCTGTCCTGGTAACTTCTCTCTTTCGAAGCAAATGAAGATAGTGGTGAAAAAATGAGTCAGAGACTATGTCTATTCACGTGTGGAATGGATAGTTAATTGTAGTCATTTAAAAAAAATGATAGAATATGATTAAAAAATATTTATTTGAGAGAGAAAGAGAGAGCATAGGTGGAGGGGAGAAACAGAGGGAGAGGGAGAGGGAAAAACAGACTTCCCACTGAGCAGGGAACCTGACATGGGGCTTGATCCTAGGACCCTGAGATAATGACCTGAGCCAAAGGCAGATGCTTAACCGACTGAGCCACCCAGGTGCCCCCGCAAAATCTATTTTGATCACTGTACACACATATAGTTTAAGCAGTCAAGTAGTTCAAAGTTTATTTGAAAAAAATCTAAGCCCACCTTCCCACCAACTCTCTTTCACCCTCTCCATTCACTAAATCCAAGCACACTTCCCTCAACTAATTATATCATCATTTTGGTGAGATCAGTATCCAGTGTCTCCATTATTAGAACACTGCTGAGCCATGTAAAATACTGTAGTAATATTTTCTCACAGCACAACTCTTTTATTTCCTTTGTCTTGTTTTCTCATTGCATAGTTTTTGTTAGATGTATTTACCACTACTAACCCCCATCCTCTCCCAGAGTCTAAATCTTCTCATCTCATGCTCCTGATTTGCTCTGCTCTGCACGGATTCCTTTCTGAGTTGCTCTTATCCTTATCATCATTCTAGTTATTCTCTTTATCCTTCCCTTGTGTTGGCTCTCCTTATATCTGGATCCTTTGTCTTGCATTTTTGTGATTTACTCCTGCCTCTTGGAGGAACCCATTCTCCAGAAGCTCTGAAAGAAAAGTGATGGGAAGTAAATGTGTTGAGGCATTGCATACCTGGAAATGCCTTTCTTATTTCCTTCTCTTAATTGATATTGCCTGGATATAGGACTCTACAATGGATACTATTTCCTTTCAGAAGTTTCAGGGCATTGCTGCATTGCCTTATAGCCATCACATTGAACTTGGGAAATCTGATGCTATTGTGATTTTTAATTGATGATATGAAATCTTTCCTTTTTCTTTTCAGGAGGCTTTTCAGGCCTTTGGCTTATCATCAGTGTTCCTACGTTTTGCGATGTTGAGTCTTGATGTGGGACTATTTTCCTCTATTGTGCTGGGTTCCTGGCGGATCCTCTTAATCTGGAAACTTGAGTCCTTTAATTCTGGGAAATAACTTCTTGAGTGATTTCCTCTATTATTTCTTTCCTTTCTTTCTTTCTTTCTTTCTTTCCAGAATGGTTATTTTTAAGTATTGAACCTACTGGACTAATTCTTTAGTTATCTGATTCTCCCTTCTGCCCCTACCACTGATGTTCTTTTTCTTTGTTTTGTGCTCTGTTCTGGGAGGTTTCCTCAACTTTATCTCCAAGTCCTTCCATTATGTTTTTCAGTTCCATATTGTATTTCTAAACTGAACCAGGAAGAAATAGAAAACATGAACAGACCCATAACCAGCAAGGAAACTGTAGCAGTAATCAAAAATCTCCCCAAAAAACAAGAGTCTGGGGCTGGACCGTGTCCCAGAGGTATTCTACCAAACATTTAAAGAAGAATTAATACCTATACTTCTGAAGCTGTTTCAAAAAATAGAAATGGAAAGAAAACTGCCAAAGTCATCCTATGAGGCCAGTATTACCTTGATCCCCAAACCAGACCAAGACCTTGCCAAAAAGAATTAAAGATCAGTGTCTCTGATGAACATGGATGTCAATTTCTCACCAAGATACTACCAGTAGGATCCAACAGTACATTAAAAGAATTATTCACCACGACCAAGTAGGATTTATTCCTTGGTTGCAAGGGTGGTTCAGTATCTGCAAATCAATCAATGTGTTACACTACGTTAATTAAAGAAAGATCCAGAACCATATGATCTTCTCTATTGATGCAGAAAAAACATTCGACAAAGTACATCATCTTTTCTTAATTAAAACTCTTCACTGTGTAGGGATAGAAGGAACATATCTCAACATCATAAAAGCCATATGTGAAAACCCCACAGCAAATATCGTTCTCAATGGGGAAAAACTGAGAGCTTTTCCCCTAAGGTCAGGAATATGGCAGGGATGTCCACTCTCACCACTGTTGTTCAACATAGTATTATAAGTCCTAGCCTTAACAATCAGACAACGGAAAGAAATAAAAGACATCTGAATCAACAAAGAAGTAAGCTCTCACTCTTTACAGATGATATGATAGTCTACGTGGAAAATACGAAAGACTGCACCCCAAATTGCTAGAACTCATAAAGGAAGTCAGCAATGTGACAGGATATAAAATCAATGCACAGAAATAAGTAGCATTTCTATACACTAACAATGAGACAGAAGAAAGAGAAATGAAGGAATCAATCCCATTTACAATTGCACCAAAAACCATAGGATATCTAGGAATGAACCTAACCAAGAAGGCAAAGGATCTATACTCTGAAAACTAGAGAACACTCATGAAAGAAGTTGAGGAAGACAAAAATGAAAAAATGTTTCATGCTCATGGATTGGAAGAACAAATATTGTTTAAATGCCTATGGGGAACCTGGGTGGCTCAGTGGGTTAAGCCTCTGCCTTTGGCTCTGGTCATGATCTCAGGGTCCTGGGATCAAGCCCTGCATCAGGCTCTCTGCTCAGTGGGTAGCCTGCTTCCCCCTCTCTGCCTAGATAAATAAAATCTTTTAAAAAAATGTCTATGCTACCTACAGCAATTTATATATTCAGTGTAATCCCTATCAAAATACCATCAACATTTTTCACAAAGCTGGAACAAATAATCCTAAAATTTGTATGGAACCAGAAAAGATCCTGAATAGCCAAAGGAATGTTGAAAAAGAAAACCAAAGCTAGGGGCACCTGGGTGGCTCAGTGGGTTAAGCCTCTGCCTTCAGCTCAGGTCATGATCTCAGGATCCTGAGATCAAACCCCACATTGGGCTCTCTGTTCAGTGGGGAGCCTGTTTCCCCCCACCCCTCACTTGCTTCTCTGCCTGCTTGTGATCTCTGTCAAATAAATAAATAAAATCTTTTAAAAAAAAGAAAGAGAAGAAAACCAAAGCTAGTGGCATAACAATGAAAGACTTAAAGCTCTATTACAAAGCTGTAATCATTGAGATAGTATGGTACTGGCACAAAAACAGACAGACCAATGCAACAGAATAGAGAACCCAGAAGCAGACCCTCAACGCTGTGGTCATCTAGTCTTCGACAAAACAGGAAAGAATGTCAAATGGAAATTTGTCTCTTCCACAAATGGTGTTGGGAAAATCAGACAGCCACATGAAGAATGACTCTGGACCATTTTCTTACACCCTACACAAAAATAGACTCAAAATGAATGAAAGACCTCAATGGGAGACAGGAATTTGTCAAAATCCTAGAGAAGAGCAAAGGCAGCAGTCTCTCTGACCTGCTAAACATGTCTCTAAAGACAAGGGAAACAAAGGCAAAAATGAACTATTGGACTTCATTAAGATAAAAAGCTTTTGCCCAGCGAAGAAAACAGTCAACAAAACCAAGAGACAACTTACAGAATGGGAGAAGACACTTGTAATGTCTAACCAGATAAAGGGCTAGTATCCAAAATCTAGAAAGAACTTAACAAACTTAACAGGCAGAGTACAAATAAATCCAATCAAGAAATGGGCAGAAGACACAAACAGACATTTCTCCAAAGAAGATATACAAATGGCCAACAGACACATGAAAAAAATGCGCCATATCACTTGGTATCAGGGAACTACAAATCAGAACCACAATGAGACAATATCTCAAACTGGTCAGAATGGCTAAAATTAATAAGCCAGGAAATGACAGATGTTGACAAGGATGCAGAGAAGAGGGAACCTTCTCACACTGTTGGTGGAAATGTTAGCTGATGCAGCCACTCTGGAAAACATCATGGAGGTTCCTCAAAAAATTGAAAATAGAGCTATCCTATGACCCAGCAATCACACTACTGGGTGTTTACCCCAATGATACAAATGTAGTGATTCAGAGGGACACTTGCACCCCAAAGTTTATAGCAGCAATGTCTACAGTAGCCAAATTGTGGGAAAAGCTCTTATGTCCATCAACAGATGAGTAAGTAAAAGAGATGTGGTATATATACACAATGGAATATTACTCAGCCATCAAAAAAGAAATCTTGCCATTTGCAATAATGTGGTTGGAACTAGAGGGTTTATGCTAAGTGAAATAAGTTACTCAGAGAAAGACAATTATGTGACTTCATTCATATGTGGAATTTAAGAAAGAAAACAGGAGCATAGCAGAAGGGAAAGAAAAATAAAGCAAGATAAAAACAGAGAGGGAGGAAAACCATAAGAAACTGTTAATCATAAGAAACAAACTGAGGAAAAAAAAAAGAAACAAACTGAGGGCTGCTGAGGGGACAGTGGGTGGTGGGATAGAGTAACTGGGTGATGGACATTAAGAGAGCAGAGGATGTAATGAGCACTGGGTGTTATATAAGACTGATGAATCACT